CCTCACTCTTCAGGGCCAGCATATTACATCTTACAATCCCACCAGGTCCTCCACTATGCTGACAGGCTTGGGTAATCTTTTTTTTTTTTCTCTGCCGCTTGCTTGAGCCCCCACTGGCTTTGCTCCTCCTATTCTTAGGGGTCTAGTGAGTAGCACCTCAGTTCCATTTAACTACTGAGGGAAGGGAAAGTGTAGAAACAAGCATTTATTAGGTACCTGCTATATGCTGGGCACTGTGCTAAGCAATTTACAATTATTATTTCATTTGATCCCCATAACAACCCTTTGAGGTAAGTACTATTATTATCCCTGTTAACAGTTGAGGAAGGTGAGGTAGATAGAGGTTAAGTGACTTGCCCAGGCTAACACAGCTAGTAAGTATGTGAGGCAGGATTTGATCTCAGGTCTTCCTGACTTCTAACATTTAACATCAGATTAGCCTTCACAAAGAGATATTTACTTCAAAACAAGAACAAACATATAAACATTTACCCCAACATCTCAGTCTCTGGAGAAAGGAAAGGGATTAGGCTAATAGCTAGCCCAGTCCCTATATAGCATTATTTCCACCAAGTTCAAATCCAAAGTCCAACTGAGCTGGAGTCTCTGGATCTGTGCTCTTTAGGAAGTCATTGCTGGGCTGGCTGCATCGTCCCACGTGTAGTTTTGAACTGCCAGGCAGAAACTCCGTTCCAAAACTAGAAAAGAATGAAGGAAATGGCCAAAATCTCAGACCCATCTCTTGGGGCCATATGGCCTAAAGGAGGAGTGGATAGAGGGAAGGAATGTGACCCTCAGACCCTTGTTGTGTAATCTGCTTTGAGTGAAGGAGTCCTTTCTCCCACAAATGCAAGAAAAGCCTACACTGTTGCTGAGTCAGCTTATTTTAAGACATCACCGGTTCTGGCCAATGGAAAAAAGGCTGCTCCCTACCATCTGGTAGGTCAACATAATATGCCCACAGATGTGCCAGTCATCTAGTCTTTTAAAATTAGGTCCCTCAGTGTCTTCCCCATGGGTGATGCCATAGTGGAGGTTTAGGCATGTGCCAAACCTCCATTATACTTGTATATCTTTTTATTCTTCTAAGTGCCTGTGATTGTCATTTTATCAATAAATTCTGCAATTATATTTAAGTAGTATGGGGCTGTATCTCTGTTCCTTGAGATCCAGAATCATTAACTGGGCTCAATCCTGATGCCACTAAGGCTTCATAAGTTTTTCATGTCTGCAAGAGATACACATCTCTGTATTTCAGATGTAGTGACATAGTTCCAGACTTCTTGCTGAGGTTATTTCCTTTTTGCATTACTCATACTGACCTCTGACCTTACAAAACCTTGCCCAGGGAGAAAGACTCTGTTAGTTCAACTTCAAGAGATTTTCTGTGACCAAATTCAGGTTCAGATATAGTCAATGTAAGTATTTTTTTAATTTTTGTATGAATTTAACAATTAACAAACATTTCAGTATGCAAAGAACAAAAGATTGTCTATGAAACTGTGACTTTCTAAGTCCATCTTATTTTTTAACATAGTAAATTTGACAAAGTATTATAAAATTACCCCACTTTGATGTTTCCTTCTGAAGTTTTTCTTTTGCATATTTAAAAATGTTTTGGTGTTCTTCCTTCGTCTCTTTCTTTTTCTTTCCTTTCTTCTTTTTTCCTTCTTCCTTTGTTCCTTTCCTTCTTCCTTCTCTTTCTTCCTTCCTTCCTTCATTTCATTTTTGCTACTTTTCTAACACCTTCTACCCACTCACTCCCAGTAGAAGCTCTTGTAACAAACAAATCTTAGACACTAGGTTAAGGCAGCTCTCATCTGAAGGAGAAATTTCTGGTTTTTCTCTACCTTACTTTGATATTTTGGAATCGTTTTGTTCAGACTTGCCCCTCCCTGTCCACCCTTAAGGGTTATTGCTTTATAAACATGAATGCACATAAGAAATAAATATGGGTTAGGCAGTTTGGGCATTTTGTAAATATATATAGAAAGGTAGCATGACCTGGTTGATAAAGAGCTGTGCTTAGAATCAGGAAGACCTTGGTTCTTGTGCTGTCAACCTATGTGTCACATATTACCTATGTGACACTAGGCAAGTGATTTAACCTTCAGTGTTCCCAAGCAATCCACTAAGAGTATAAACTGCAGATCAGGACTAGTTTGTACCAGTAGAAGGAGTTTCCACTGTGGACATTCTTTATGCCTGTGGTCTTCAAAATGTGGTTTGGGCCTGACCCCAAGGTAAATGGGATAATATATCACAGACCGTCATTCCCACAATAACCAATTGTAAGTCTTGTCTCCAACACAGTACTCTTATTCCTCAATTATTCCTCCATCCCTCTGTTATGTCCCCACTTCTGACCCTGGCATCGACCCCTTAGGGTAATTATAACCTAATAAGTAACCACTCACCCAAAGCAGCAGCAGCTCTGGTGTCATTTGAAAAATGTGTCCCTACCTCCTGGCTCGAAGGTCACCTGGAGCTGTGGCAAGGATCTCTTGGAGGGCAGGCTCTGTGCGCCATGGAATGACCTAGAAGTAAAAGCCCTCTCTTCCCTTTTCATTTTGGGTGAGACAGAAGGAGCCACACACAGGATGAACAGGCATCGAAGAGTTATGAGCTCTATCACAGATCTCATTACATTATCTCACCCCTCCGCATGAGCCCTTCTTCTAAACTTCCCGTGGTGGACACTTCCAGTGACCCAGGTTCCCCTCTTCGGTGTCAGCCTCCACATCTCTTTACTCTCCCTCACCTCACAGATCCAATCAGTTGTCAAGTCTATCTTCACAACACCTCTTCTATCTGTCTCCTTTCTGGCTCACGTAAGTCACCACCCTAGTTCAGGTCCTTATCACCTTTAAACTGGACTATTCCTAATTGGTCTCTACCTCAAGGCTTTCTCCACTCCAATTTAACCTTCACCCAGCTGCCACAGATTTTCCTAAAGCCCAAGTCTCAGCCAGAGGTAGTTATGCTGGAGCTAATTGTTAAATTTTCATTGTACGTGTCAGAAATTGGCAATGCTATAAATCAGGGCTTGATTTGTTGTTTTGTTGATTATCTGGACTTAAGAAAATCATGGAGAAATAATGCAGATTAAATTTAAAAGGGCATATTAAGAGAGGTGGTTGTTAAACATTTGCCAGCATACCAAGTTACTCTTTTACTTGATAAATGGCAGTGGCTTCCTATTAACTCTAGGATTAAATATTATTTGAATATTATCTTATCCTTTTAAAATTTCTTCTTTTAATGTTTCTTTTATAATGTACATTATTGTGTGTACATTTGTAATGTTAATTACATTGTGACCATTTATAATGTATATATAATATATGTCATGTACAATATAATAAAGAATATAACATAATTTATAAATAAGTTTATATATATATTGGGGTAGTATGCTCAAAATTTTTTCACTGATTAGGATACATGACCAAAAAATTTGGGAGACTACTATATATTAAGAAAATCTAGTCAAAAAACCAAAAAAATATGCTATCATGAGTTTGTATCAACGTGGAGGATCTTATATCAGTCATACTCTTCCAAGCTAAAAGTGAGGGTTCTATGCCATTAAATAATATGTTTAAGAAGCAGCTAGGTGGTGCAGTAGATAAAGCACCGGCCCTGGAGTCAGGAGGACCTGAGCTCAAATCTGGACTCAGATACTTACTAATTATGTGATCCTGGACAAGTCACTTAACCCCAATTGCCTCAAAATAATAGTAATAATAATAATAATAATAATATAACGTGTTTAGTTCTCCTCCCCTGGAGGAGACTGTCATAATCATAAATAACATTCATCTACTTTAAAGTTTACAAAGACCTTTAGAAATATCTCATTTGATCTTTACAATAACCCTAGGAGGGAGAGGGGTGCTATTATTATCCTCATTTTGCAGATGAGGAAACTGAGGCATACAGAGTTTAAGTGACTTGTCCAGGGTCACACAACTAGCAAGTGTCTGAGTCTGGATCTGAACTCATCTTCTTAACTCCAACTCCAGCTGGGCTACCTAGCTCTCTCTGTGTATCATTATTATGCCCCAACGTGGGCAGCTACCAACAATGAGGAATAACTAATGATGGGTATGCTTGGGCATTCTCAAAGTGGATTAAAGGCTGGCCTTACCCTTCAACAACAGCAGAGTTGACAAGCATTTATTAAATCAACATGCATTTTTTAAGCACTTACTATGGACATGATACTGTGTACTGTGGGTCCAGTGCTTCTTTTAAGTAAAAAATGTGTTCTGTAAGTAGTTTTAATGGTCAATTATTCAAGGGGAAGAGCTTTAAAAAAAACAAAACAAGGGAAGCTAGGGAATGGGAAGAAGACTGTTTTTAAAAATCACTTCAAATCACTTCAAGGGTTGAACAGGTGCATCACCCTCCCAGTAGTGATGAGGAAGTTCAGTTTTAGGAATATGTGTGTATGCACATACACATACATACATATATTTTTGAGAGAGTATGTATATGCATATACATACATGTGTATTATGTACATATGTATGAAATGTCATATTTTTGTTTCCTTCTGAATCTCTCAGTTCTCCTAGGATAGGAATCTGTAATTAAATTGATAGGTTCCCTAGAATCTTGAGTTATCAGGTTATTTTCCCTTCATCTATTTTCACATAAATCGAGGCTTTCCTTGTTCTAAGATGTACTTTCTTGTGGCCATTCTAGAGATCTCTCTCCATTCTCTGTGTCATTATAGCCTTTATAGTGTACTTAGAATCATAGAATGTTAGGGTTAAAAAGGCACTAAAGATGCACCTAATACCACCTTAACATTTTACAAACAAACAGTTTGAGGCTTCTAGGGATTAAATGAGTTTCCCAAGGTCACTCAGTGAGTTGGCAGCAGAGTCAAGAGGAGGACTGAGGCTTCCTGATTCCCAATCCAGTGCTCCTAATTGGCGTGCAATCTGTAAAAGCTTCCTGGGCTGTCTGTCTTGTAGACTTCCGAATGTTCCTTGGTATCCTAGCAACATGCAGAAACTTCCTCTCAGCAATGGCTAAAGCTCACTAACCTTGGAAACCTCCAACGGTATGTTACCCTGGCTTTACAGGCAACTAGAATAGGTGAGAGTTAACAGACTCCCACTGAAGCTGCCCAGAGCATTTGGAGTAAGGAGCTCCCTTCAAACCAGGGACAGAATGAGCTTTACCATTAAATTCAAGGACCTCCTGAATCTTGCACTAGGCACCACAGACCCAGGGGTGGTGGTGAATTTCAATGCCCTGCATACCCTGCTGCATAGCATCATAGAACACCTCAACCTGGAGGAGCAGACGAAGGTTCTTCCAGGGAGTGAGAAGGACTACCTCCCACGTAGCCCCTTTCAGGTTACATCTGGGAAGAAGCCTGGGGAGAAGTCAGAAGAGAGTGAAGAGGATATATTATACCGTACACCATCTGATAGGATCATCAGCACCTTTGACCAGCGGCTGTCTGTAGTGGAAAGCCAGGTGGCCTTTCTGGAGGCACTGCCCTCCACCGAGCAGCTGCTGGAAAGCAGTCAGCCCTTCAAAAAACCAGCCCAAGATATGTGGCAGATGTTGAAGCTCCAAAAAAAGGTAGAAGGGAATGAAGAAGGAATGACAAAGGTAAGAACATCTCTTCCCTGAAAGATTTTTTGCCCCCTCTCTTTTCTTCCCCTATTGTAATCACTTCAACACCCATGTATCAATCATCTACTGGGTGGCACAGTTGGATATAGTGTTGGAATTGGAATTAAGAAGACCTGAGTTCCAATGTGACCTGAGGCATTTACTAGCAATGTGACCTAGGGCAAGTCACTTGACCTCTGTCAGCCTCAGTTTCCTCAACTATAAAATGAGAATAATTGTATCTAACTCACAGGGTTATTATGAGGATTAAATGAAATTACATCTATAAGTGCTTAGTAAATCTGAAAACACTATACAAATGCTACCTATTATTACTCTGTGCAAGTATATAGAAATAAACCACAGTTCCTATTGTGACAGAACTTACAACCTGGTAGGAAGGAAAAGATAGCATACAAATAACTATGAGCTGAGAAGAGTATGAAAAGTACAAAGGAAAAGTCCAGGCAAGTGGTATTAGAAATTTGAGAAGGGAGAAATCACTTTCAACTAGGGGGATCAAGGAAGGTTTTTTAAAACTAGCAACTGAATGCAGCCTTGGAAAGTAATAGAGGCAAAGATAAGAATGGGGAGTCCATTCCAGGCATGGAGGATTGCATTGATTTGGGAGAGGGTAGAACTTGAAGAAAGAATGGTTCACTAACCAGTTTCAGTCTGGTTGGAACAGAGAGGACATTAAGAATTGTGTGAGAGAGGCTAGAATAGTAGTTTGGAGCCAGTTTACAGAGCCTTAAGTTACCAGGTTGTGGAATCTGTGTTTTATTTGGTAGCTGTGGAAATGTCTTGAAGATTTTTCAGTAAGCCAGTTACTGTGGTCAAAGTTATGCTGTAGTGCAGTAGTGTCAAACTCAAATAGAAACAGGAGCTACTTCCATATGTAAGATCCCTGTGGGCCACATATTGCATTGTTTTAAAATGTAATGTTTTCTGTGTTTATTATATTTTTATTTAATTTGTTAAATGTTCCCCAGTTACATTTTAAAATATCTGGTTTGGGCCCATACTGGATAGTGTTGTGGGCTGCATATTGGATACCTCTGCTGTAGCCCAATTACCCTCAATGAAGCAAGGAAGGAGGGATCTGAGCAAGGAGAAAAGGGAGACCAGTTAGAACACTATTACCGTCCTCCAGAAAAGAGGTAATGAGTCCTCATTGGCTTCTGTCCTATGATGTTCCCATTGAGCCAGCTAATGAGTATTTCTCACATAACATTGTTTTTTGAAATTTGCTGTTTATCAACTGTCTAGTTAAGTCAGTCAGTCAGTACTGCCAAGCATTGTGCTAAACACTGGCGATACAAAGAAAGATAGTCACTCTCTCAAGGAACCCACGATCTCAACGATGGAGACAACATGCAAACAGTTATATACAAACAAGTTATATACAGGATAAATAGGAAATAATCAACAGTGAGAAGGCACTAGAATTAAGAGAGATTGGTAAAGTTTCCTATAGAAGGAAAAGTTTTATGTGGGACTTGAAGGAAGGTGAGGGAAGCCAGAAGGTAGAGATGAGGAGAGAGGACATTTCTTGACAAACTCATCCTCCAATTCAATTTAAGTCAGCAAGCATTTATTGAGTATCTTATGTGTATAAGTAGCATGTTGGGCATCATGAGGATGTAAAAGAAATAAATGGCATACATGATCCCTGTTCCCAAGGAGCTTATTGTGTTGGGAAGACCAAAATAGCAAACAAAGAATCTGGGAAGAATATAAGATAAAGATCAGCTTTTGAGTCAGACGACCTGATTTAAGTACTTAGGCTGACACATACTGACTCTGTGACCAGTGGGCAAGTCACTTAGCCCCTCAGTGCCCCCAGGCAATTCTTGGAGAATCTAAATCACACACATTTGCTGAGCTATATCAGAAGAGGGAGTTTCTACACTAGAAGTTTCCCACAATAATGAAACCATAGGTCTTAACAAAAAAAAAACAAAGATGGTATATAATTAAGTGCTAAATTGGATATGATCAACTGTCAAAATTGAGTGATATAGATAATATGGACAGTCATGAAGACACAACTGTTATCTGTTATGTACACTAATTATCTACAATTATCAAAAAAGAGTTAATAGAAGAGATAGGATTTGAGTTGGAAAGGACCTCAGAGTTCATCTCTTCCAGCCTTCTCATTTTACTCATGAGGAACCTGAAACCCAAGGAAACTAAGTAATTCACCCAGGAATTTGAACTTGGGTTATCTGATTTCTGAATCAATCCAGCATGCTTTCCAACTGTAACAAAACTGAGACAAATGAAATCATAATTGCAGAACTGCAGAATTTCAGAGTTGGAAGGAACCTCACTGGCCATCAGTTCAAACCATACCCAAAAGTTATTTCCACAATATCCTACCTGACAAATAGTCATCCATCTTCTGCCTGAAGACCTCTGAGGAGGGAAAAACCCACTGTTTTTCAAGGCAGCCCATTCCACTTTTGAACAACTTTGTCAGGAAGGTTTTCTTGATATCAAGCCTAAACTTCCTTCTTTGCCACTCCTACCCATTTTTCCTGGTTCTGTCTCTTGTGGGGACAAATAGAACAAAGCTAATCCCTCTACTACATGACAATTTCAAATACTTGAAAATAGCTAACACATTCTTGCTCATCTCACTCCTTCGGTCTTATCCAGACTAAACATCTCCTATTCTTTCAGCTAATCCTCATATGTTATGTTCAAAATTTATATTCCTTTGGGCAGAGCACCCACATATCTTGGGGTTTATGGCTAGATTTCTTTTATAAGGACCATGCCTTAAACCCCAAATCACTCTGACTCTTGATTGGCCAATAATATGCCCGGCTTCATTTGCTCATTGTTTAGGCTCAGCTGGTTCAGAGCGAGGGTGGATTAGCAATTGTTTCTGTTTTGGCCAGAAACCCTGAGGGTCTTCCCCTCCCAGACTGATTTTTTTTTTTTGACTAGGTAAAAGAGGCTATTCTTTGCCTTATTTCTTACCTAGCCTTAATTACTGAATGGGCATTGCCTCAGTCAAACTAAGACCTGGGAAAGACCTTAGCTTCTTAAAAAGGCCAAGGTCTCCCACTGCATTCTGGGCCATCTCTGGTTGTCCTGATCTATATCTTACCAATGGGCCCAGATGGCTCCAGAGGAGAAAGTGAGGCTGGTGACTTTGCACAGCCCTACCTCACTTAAATCCACTTCACTTGCAAGTCATGGCATCACCTTCCTGGTATTATGGTTCTTTTCAAGGATGAAGGACAAACAACGACAACAATAGCAACAGTAGTATTAGTAATGGTAGTTCTGATTAACTTAGGGATTTTTGTCAATCTGGGTATACTCAACAGCTTTTCAATACGTTGTCAAAGACCATAAGGGCAGCCATTTCCATTTACTTGTAGAGAGAAAACAACATTCATTCTAATACCTAGGTGTGTGCCTAGGTATTTTGGAGGATAGAAAAAAGTATAACATTTATTTTACTCACAAGGAACTTAACGATGTCATTGAGGAGGCATTATTTGGTTAAAAAATAAAATAAGTGGTATAAGAAGCAAGTACTATGGGAAGCGAGAGTATCCTAAATACTTTCTTTTAGATGTAACCCCATGGGTCTTACTGCAGAAATAGAGTATCAAAAATTACTTACCCAGAGGACAGAGAAACACCTGGAAGTTGATATGGTTCTGATTCAGCTTTGAGGCGATCTACACGGATCACAGCATGTTCCTGAGACAATGAAAAGATGGGGCCTACTAGAGTAGAGGGTTTGTGTTGGGTAATAGAAGGTAATGTGGCTCCATAAGTGAGAGAGTTGAGGAAACTATGTTATAATGGCCCTGAAAGTCAGTCAGAAGAGCTTAAATTTGATATGACTCCAGAAAGCATGCTTGTCATACATCTGGAAATGTGCAAGACTTAGCTGGATAGCACTTAAATATGCCTATGAGTAAGCTGAGGCCATCAGTGTCCTTAAGCTCCTGGGCTGCCCTCCTTCCCCTGCCTTCCTAAAAAGGGCCTTAATTGCCATGGTTGATTAGGTGAGACATGGGTAGACCATTTACCCGATGGCAGCTCAAACAGAAAAACAAAACAACTCAGGAAAAAGTCAAGTGGACAAGCTTGGACATGGTTGCATAGCCCTCAAGAGGGCCATTAGTCAAGAAGAGGAATGCTTTATTGTTGATGAATGTTGCCCCTGTGAGTACTTTGGTTGAGGTTGCTAAGGTTCACTTTGAAGGGTGTTGTCATGGTTGCTAGATTCCAAGTTTGTTCAATAAGATTGGTTAGATGTATGTGCCTCCTAGCCAATGAGAACATACTTTCACAGAATCACAGAATTTTAGAATTAGAAGGCACTTCAGCAGTCATTCAGTCTAACTGAAACCTGAAAAAGAATCCCTTCTACAGCTTATACAAGTAGACCATTCACCTCTGCTATGAGATTACCAGTGAGGGAGAATCCATCATCTCCTGAAGCAGCAGCTCATACACTCAGAATTTTGAACAGCTGTAACTGTTGGGGTGCTTTGACTGATATTAAGCCTAAATTTGTCTCCTTCCAATTTCTATCCATTGTTCCTACTTCTACCTTCTAGGCCCACACAGAAAAAAAGTATAATCCTATCTCTCTGGGAGTGGGGAGAGGAAAAGATTACTGGGGAAATTTTGGTGATATAAAAAACAAATGATAGCAATGAAAATTTATTTTAAAAAAGGAAAAAGTCTACATCTTCCAGACCTTTAATTAAAGTGAGGATATCCATCATGTGCCCCCTAAGAATTCTCTTTTCTAGGTTAAACATCCTGAGTTCCTTCATGTAGCATAACCTCAAAGCCTTTTACCATCTTGAGTGTCTTTCTCTGGACACTCTAGCTTTTCAGCATACTTCCTAAAATGTGGCATCCATAACTGGACACAGTACTTCAGGTATGGTTTGACTAGAACAAAACATAGTAGAATTATTAGCTCCTGCATGCTCTACCTTTTTTAGTGCAGCCTAACATCACAAAAGTTTTTCTTGGCTGCCATATCACATTGTTGACACATATTGAGCCTATAATCAACTAAAGCCCCCAAGATCTTTCAGGCAAACTGCTTCTTAACATGCCTCCCCCAGTCTATACTTGTGAAGTTGATGTTTAGAACTCAAATCTGAGACCTTCCATTTATCCTCATTCAATCTCAAATTATTTGATTTAGCTTTAGCCTAATGCTCTAACCTGTCAAAACCATTCTGGATCCAGACTCTGTTCCTCCACTTTGTTAGTTTTTCCAGCCTCATGTCATCTACACATTTCACTAGCATGCCTTCTTCCATGTTATTGATTTAAAATATTAAACAACATAAGGTCAAACGTACATTCCTAAGACATTCCAGTGGAGACCTCCCACTAAGTTGACATGGAATCATTAATGGTTACCCTTTGATACAGGCCATTCAACCATTCAAGCCTTTCAGTACCCAAAGATCTATGTAGCACACCTGTGATAGGTGATTAATTCATCAAAGGGAGCTGGGAGCTTTCTTGCTGTCTGTTTATCATGCTTTCTTGTTTTCTTCTTTGAGTTTCAATGCTCTATTAATCATTATTATTCTGAATTTGCCTAAAAGTAACTTAATCTGGCACACATCTTTCTTTTCCACAAGAATAGCATGAAAGACTTTATCAAATGCTTTGTTAAAATCTAAAATATATCTACTGTCATCTAGTAGTTAAGTAATCCTATCAAAATAAGAAAAAAGGATTAGTATGGCATGTCCTATTCTTGATGAAAATTCAGTGGTTTTTTTGTGGTGACTGCTTCCTTTCCTGGGTATTCAAGATCCATCCCTTTTGTAATATTTTTGAATTTTGTCAAGTGAAACTCACTGGCCTATAGTTTACAGATTTTAGTCTCTTTCTATTTTGGAAAATAAGATCACTGGCCCTGATCCTTTGCTGTGGTACATCACCCATTCTCCATGATTTTTCAAAGATCATTGACAGTGGCTCTGCTAGCAACCTATCTGCCTATTCTTTCAGCATTCAAGGACGTAATGCCTCGGGGCCAGATGACTTTCTGGCTCTCTCCTCACTCAGATATCAGTGAGCTACTAGTCATTTTTGTTCTCTCCAGTTCAAAGGTTATTTTCTTTAGCAGAGAACAGAAGTGAAATAAAGATAAGAAATAAACAGCTCTGGCTTCTCTGTGCTATCATTTATTACCATCCCATCTACTTCTAGCAGTCCTATGGCTTCTGGGATCCTTCTCTTTTCCCACTATCACTTAAAAAAAAAACCACAAACCAAATCTGTCTTTTTTGGTACTTAGCTTTTCTCCTCAGATTTAGTTCATACTAAGATTTAACACCTCTAGCACTTTTCTTACAGGATCATGCCATGCTTTTATCTTCATCCTCTATGACCTGTTCTTGCTTTCATCTTCTGCACCTATCTTGAAAAAGCTGAGTTGGTTGTCAAGTTCCCTATGCATGCATCCTCATGAATCTCTTAGACATTTTCTCTTTTCTTCCACATAAAAATTGTCAGTCAACAAATATTAATTAGCCAACAGCATTTACTAAGCATTTACTCTGTGCCAGGCACTGTGCTAGGCACTGGGGAATTTTTTTCTGTTGGCATCTTCAGAATTTCCTTTTTGATACCCTTAAAAATAATTTGAGTTACTGTGGTGTGTCCTGTAATATCAGAGCTAACAATCATTGTAGATCCCTTTTACAAGACTTCTGCTGTTAATGTTTGGTAGGGGATTGTGGTTGGCAGGGAGGGAAGGTTGAGGCCCAGCTCTCAGGAGTTGCAGTGTTCCCACTCTCACCCTTCCTCTGACCTGCCTTTCAGCATTGTGGAGGTCCGAGACACTCTTCAGAAAGAGAGCTGCTTCCAGTCTGGACACGTATAGATTCTAGCTACTCCAGACGTGGCAACTGTGCATTATATAAGAAACCCTCCTTAGATAGACAGCTCCCTAAAGCTCCAGGGCCCCTCTTTACCATGAAGCATACACGGTATGTAGATCCACAAAGCCAGCATGGGAGACTGGTTGTCAAAGCAGTCCTGGAAAGTGTTGTTGGAGACACTGAGGGCCACTCTTTGCCATTGATACATTTTTGTTTGTAAATGGAATAAAGAATTAGGAGAGTTTCTTTCCTTCTTTCCTTTTGATTTTATCTAATTGACTGTTTACTCTAGAGGTCCCTAACCTTTCCCGTAAAGAACAACTGGTTTTCACTTTACTACAACAATAATAATAGTTAGCATTTATATATCACTTTAAGGTTTACAAAACACTTTACGTATGTTACCTCATTTGATTCTCACCACAATCTTGGGAGGTAGGTGCTATTATTATCCCTATTTTACAGATGAGGAAACTGAGGCAAATATCAATTAAGTGACTTGCCCAGTAAATGTCTGAGGTGGGATTTGAACCCAGGCCTTCTTGACCCCAAGTCCAGTACTCCATCCTATGTGCCACCTAACTGCCTCATCTTATGATCCTTTGGAGTTAGAAAGGGAGTTAATGTTGAATGGCCCTGAGTGAGTTTGGGGAGGGGATGTTGTTACTTGCTTTCGGCCTCTCCCCACTAGTAATCCTGATAAATCAGGGGTGAGGAGGTGTGGTAGGCAAGCAGAAAAGGCTTAGAAATCATCTGGTCTACTGGTTGGGGATCCCTGGGCAAACTTAACTCTCCAGAAAACCACATCTTCCCCATCCTACTCCAGCCCATTCTGCCTTGATTTGTCTATCATACCACCTATGAGATAATAACAAAACCAAAATAACAATAACACTTAATTTAAATTTTGCAAAGTATATTTTACATACTTTGTCTCACAACAACCCTGTGAGGTAGATGTTAGTATTATTCCATCTTACATCTAACCCATGGCTTAAAGCCTATTTGAATAAGACTGCTTTCATTGATAGAGACTGATCACTCTATGCTCTGCACCTGAGTTTTGAGAGAGACGACATGTAGCTCCAGAAACTCTTTAGGTCTCTGAAGAGAGGATGACTTTGGGAAGAAGCTGATGTGTAAGAGGAGCTAACACCTCGATCATGTCTCTATCCCCAGCTTACTACACTGGAGTCTTTGGGTTGTCTCCCTTTGGGTGGGATCTGGGACTCTTTCTCTCTCTTGGTTGAGCTGAGATATCTTGCTCCCAATTAAAGAGCTCATTCATTCTATTGTCTGGTACAATTCTCATTTGTATATATGATTTTTGTTTGCCATAAGCTTGGAGAAATGGTTTTATTTGCTGTATTCTATATGTGTTCTTTGTGGAACCAGCATTTGATGGAAAGGGACTTAAGCCTTGGATATAAAGATTGGGCCATTCTTTCCTTGTTAAGGCATATAGATTAGGAGCCAAGCTTGAGCCTAAAAATTATCTCCCCTAGAATAATATTTAGGGAGGTGGATAGATATGATATTTACCCTTTCCCTGAGAAGAACGAAGTGGTTAGCTTCTAACCCCAAACTCCTGCTTCCCCTCCTGTCAAGAATCATTTTGTCTTAGACAAGGGTGAGTGGAGGAGATTCTAAAGATGTCCGTTCATGCACCCCTGCAAGACACATCTCATCAGATCTAAGTAGAAACATATCACCTATGTGTGCAAAACATGGCATACCGCATCCCCTACACACAGATGAAGAAGCAGAGCCTGAGAGAGATTAAGTAACTTACTCAAGAGCTACTAAGTGACTGAGAATGAGCTTCAGTTATCCATCAGTGACTCCTGGGCATCACCTACTTTGAACCTCTCTCTCAGAGCCCTAGTGGCTTTGGAACAGTCAGATCACCTACCTGTACTCACTCTTTCCTCAATAAGCGTTCTCGTCCTCCTTTGGCCTCCCCCCAACCCCATCTCTCGTATCAAGCGGACTCTCTCCCCTTTTTTCCTTTTACCACTCTCTTCTCCAGGCCATGCAAACACTGCAGGAACTGCTCACCACTATTTATACCCTTCAGTCAGACACAGATTACTTCAGGATGGAAATGGAACAGCTGAAGGAAAAGCTTGACAAGGTAAAAATCTCCCTGGTGTCTTCTATCCCAACTAAAAGATACCTCTCACCCCTTGTAGTAGGACTTTGGGTGTGAGGGGGGCTCCTGTCTGGGAACCTCTGTCCTTAAATGCTAATGGAGTACTTCGAGGGGAAGGAAAGGGGCTTGGAGACTTGTCCTCTGTCATTATCCTTTGCCAGAAAGCAAGAGTCCTATCAGGATGGATCACAGGGCAGGTAAGTTTTCAATAGTAATAGCTAGTATTGGTATAGAATTGTAAGGTTTCCAGAGCATTTTGTGCTACCTCATTTGATCCTCACAACAACCCTGGAAGGTAAGTGCTTTATTGTCCCCATTTTGCTGATGAGGAAACTGAGGCAGAGAGAAGGTAAGTGACTTGCCTGGGATCATGTAGCTAGTAAGTGTCTGTGACAGGATTTGAACTCAGATCTTCCTGACTCCAAGTCTAGCACTCTAGCCATTGCACCAAAGCAAAGTTAGAAGAGTTTTGTTTTGACCTAGATACCTGACCTTTTTCCTATAGAATACTCTGGTGCTCTTAGCAGTTGTTTCTATTTAGCCATTCCACATGATACCACAGAGCTGTCTCTAGTTGTCCTAATCTATATCTTGCCACTGGACCCAGATGGCTCCAGAGGAAAAAGTGAAGCTGGTGACCCTGCAAAGCCTTCCCTCACTTAAATCCAATTCACCTTCCTGATGTCATGGTCTTCTTTGAGAAGGACAAACAACCTATGAGTAGTCCAAGCTGCCCCACTGGAGACCCAGCTGGCCAGTTTCAGTTGAGCAGCTCAGCTCCTTCCTCTCTTCTCCTCTCTTTTCCTCTCCTTTCTTCTCCTCTCTCTTCTCTCCCTTCCCTTCTTCCTCTCCCTCTGTCCACATGGGGTATCAGTAAATTTTGACGGCTGAAACCTAACAAGATATCTTGAAGCTTACTGGCTAAATTTCTTTCTTAAAGAACATACCTTAAACCCAGTTCACTCTGGCTCTTATTGATTGGCCAACAATAATAGGTCCCATCCAAAGCACTACTTAGTGGTCATTTTATTTTGATACTATGACCAGTGTTTGGTCCTAGTGGCTCTGATGGCTCAGAATGAATGTAAATGGTTTCTGTTTTAGCCAAAAACCCTGAGAGTCTTCCCCTTCCAAATTGATTTTTTCTATTAGATAAAAGGAGCCATTCCTTGGCTCATTTCGTAACCAGCCTTAATCACTGGGTGTTTTCTCAGTCAAAGCGAGAACCTGGAATGACCTTAGCTTAAAAATGCCAAGGTCTCCACTGAATTCGGGACCATCTCCAGTCATCCTGATCTATATCTCACCACTGGACCCAGATGGCTCCAGAGGAGAAAGTGAAGCTGGTGACCTTGCACAACCCTCCCTCAATTAAATCCAATTCATTTGCAAGTCTTGGCATCACCTTCCTAATGTCATGGTTCACTTCAAGAGTGAAGGACAAACAATAATAACAACAATGTGACAGCACCCTGTCACATTGCCCATCTCCTAGGGAACAGTCCCTTGCTAGGTTTGGCAAACTTTGCTCAAATCCCCTCTGCCTCCTGTCCATGCCTTAAAACCTAGAAGAGATGAGTGAGAGGCACCAAGACAAAATTGTAAAGTCAGACAAAGTTTGTCTTTAGCACTCATCTAGACCTTTCTCTATTCCCTTTCAGTGGAAAGTAATCTCCTTCAATGGAAAATAATCTCGTCTTAAAATGGACTGCTTCATTTCTGACTTTGTAACCCTGACATACAATAAAAATAATCTCGTCTTAAAATGGACTGCTTCATTTCTGACTTTGTAACCCTGACATACAATAGACACTTAATAAGTACTTGTTAGTTGATTGATTCTCATGTCTTCATACTGCTTTTCTGGCTATCTAGTATCCCAGGTAACAGACTTTCCCCACACTACCTTAAAATTTGTTTCTGTCCCATCCATCCTGTTAGGACTATGACTTTCTGCTTCCCAAAGTGAGAAAAGGCTGATCCTAATGGGAGAGGGCTAGGACCCTGCTTTTTAACTGCTAAGGCAATATACTCATATTTAAATGGTGATTTTTCTGGATGTAATACTTTAGTACCTGGTGAGAATTTACAAGTTACAAATGTATTGTAATCATACTTTGTCTCCGGTTAGACAAAAAAAGTAATCTTATACACGTTGATGAGTATATATGTTAATTTGAGTTTTGAAGGTATTGATTTTATAAAAAGACAGGTATGATTGATAAGAATACAGACATTAACAAGATGCAAAATGCAGGACTAGAAACAATTATGGTAAGACAGGAAAACTATATTAGAATGCTTAACATTGAAAATGGAAAAGCCAAAATATCGTTATTTGCAGATGATATAATAGTGTATAATTCAACTGTCTCAACTGGTTGTAGGATACAAGATTAACACAAAAAATTATATTTTTACTTGTTAATAAAGGTTAAGAAAACTTCACAAAAAGACATTCCAGTTACAGTAAAAATTACAACTATAACAATAACAAATTGGGAAATATCCTACCTAGAAAAAAATATATATACATATGTGGACAACTATAAAATTAAAATGGCTGAAATAAAGGAATTTTCATGAATGGTTCATGGGTCATATTAATATAATAAAAGTTACAATATTCCATAAATTAATGCATCATCAACAAAAATACCAATTCAGTTCTGTGATCATTTATTAAGTACCTACTATAGGACAGACACTGGGCTAAGCATTGTGGATAGATACAAAACCAAAGTGAAACATTCTCTATCCTCAAGGAGTTTTCTTCCTATTATTTATATGCATGTATGTAAGTAAACATTTAATATTACAAAGTAGTTCTATGAAGAAACAAAGGATTTGAACAAAAAATATAATGAAATTTATATGCGGAAAAATCAAGGGATAAGAGAGGTATGATGAAAAAATGCCAATTAAAGTGGTCTTACACTAAACCCATTACAAAATCATTATCTTTAAAGCTATCTGGTAATGGGAAAATAGACAGAAGTAGATCAGTGGAACAGAATAAGGATATCAGATATCCACCCAAATATATGTGACAGTTACTATTTGACAAACCTACAGAAGGTAAAAATTAGGGAAAAGATTAGTCAACAAAGGATTTGTTAAAATTGGTTAGCAGTTTTTTTCAGGAAAGTGGATTTAAACTCGCGTTTCATACCATATAGGTCAATGAAAATTCTACCTGTATGGTAGACTTAGACATTTTTTAAAAACCTGTAAAAATATGGAATAAGTACTTGGTGACTTTTTTCTATTCAACAAATGGGAGGGATTATTAGAGGCAACCTAGAAATCCTTGATTCCTGTAATACCCTCTCTGGGATATTCCCCCAATTTCCTCTTTGCTGTTGAGTCCTTAAAGTGGTCTGAGCCCTTCAGTACTAGAATAGTGAGTAGCCTTGTCCACGTGTGTTCCCAAAATACGTGCCTGACTCTGTAGTCATTCTTCCCACAGATACTGTAGTGTATTAATAGGAGAATGTATACCAGGATTATTGGAAGGAATTTTTATAGCCAGTCATTCCTATGCCTTCTCTTATTCCTATACTTTTATTAAAAGGTAATTATGTGTACTGGCTAACTATTAGTGTAAAGTATACTGGTTGGGGCTCATGAGCTATAGCATTACATATATAAACAAAAAGAAAAACAGTCCCTGCCTTCAAGGAGCTTATATTCTGATAGGAGATGACACATAATTACTTTTTAAAATATTCAGCCTCAGACCAAGCCATTCCTCAATTGAAAAATGGACAAAGGATACAAACAAGCATTTTTCAGAGGAAGAACTCAAAGCTATCAATAGGAAAAGCTATCATATCATATTGTGATAGCTATCAAAAGCTGTCAAAACTAGCATATGAAAAATGCTCTAAATCACTAATAATTAGAGAAATGTAAATTGAAACAACTCTGAAGTACCACCTCACACCTACCAGATTGGCTATGATGACAGAAAAGGAAAATGACAAATGCTAGAGAGGATGTGAGAGAAGAAATTCACTAATATACTGTTGGTAGAACTGTGAAGTAGTCCAACCTTTCTGCAAAGCAGTTTGAAACTGTGCCCAAAAAACTATTAAACTGTGCATACCCTTTGTTCCAGCAATACTGCTACTAGATGTATACTTCAAAGACATCAAAGAAAGAAGAAAAAGACTCGTATGTACAAAAATGGTTATAGCAGTTCTTTTTATGGTGGTAAAGAATTGGAAACTGAGGGAATGCACATCAATTGGGGAATGACTGAACAATGAATGTGATTGAATACTATTATGCTATAAGAAATGGTGAAGGGGATAGTTTCAGAAAAGCCTGGGGAAGCTTGTATGAATGATGCAAAGTGAAGTGAGTAGAACCAGGTAAACAATTTACACAGTAACAATATTGTAAAGATAATCAACTGTGAAAGATTTTATAACTAGGTCAACATAATGACCCACCCACCACAAAGGACTCATGATGAAAAATTCAACCCACTTCTAGATAGAGGCTGATATACTCAAAATACAGACTGAAGCACTTTTTTTCTTTCTTCTTTCTTGCTTTTTTGTGGAATATGGCTAATGTGGACATTTGTTTTGCATGATTTCATATTTGTAATGGGCTTTGTATTTCTTGCCTTTTCAATGGATGAAGGAGAGAGAGAATTTGGAACTGAAAATAAAATAAAATAAATAGAATCTTTAACCTCACAAATAACCAAAGAATGCAAATTAAAGCAAAAGCAAAGGATTACCTCATACTCATCAAATTTCAAAACTAATAAGAAGCCAGAAAGGTCAGTGCTGGTAGGGGAATGGAGAAACAAATGTGTTTGTTAATTGCTGGTGGAATTGTAAACTTGTGGAATTTTTTTGGAGAGCATATTGTCAGCACTTAGTAAAGATTAGAAAAATAATAATATCCTTTGGCCATAATTCCACTATGGGACCAACATACTTTATTGGGAATGTAGCCTAGAAGTGTTATTAAAAGAGATAGAGTGGGAGAAAGAAAGAGGAGGGGGGAGGACAGAGGCTTTTGTAGTAGCATTATATGTAATATAAAGAAAAAAAACTGGAAACAACCTAAATATACAAGAATGAGGCAATGGTTGGTAAATTATAGTATACTAGTATAATGGAAGCCTTCAAAGCAATTTAAGATTGACAGATATGAAAAATATAAGGAATAATAGAAACACCTTTGTTAAACAATACAAAGCAATAAAGAAAACCAGAAGAACAGAGTATACACACTAATTACAACCATGCCAGAGGAAAGGTGAATGGAAATGAGTGGCCAAATAAAGAATTTGGATAGAGACAGATTGTCTAAAAAAGTGGTTATATTATTTTATGGGTTGAATTTAATTTAAGTGTAGTTACAAAGTAAGCTAAATTGATTGCATTGATTTTTCAATATCATTTATAGTAAATCTTTTTTAAAATTTTTACATAAGTTTAACCATGTAGGCAAAAATAGAGAAAAAAGAACTTATTTAGAAGGAGTGGATGATTTGATCCAGGTTGGAACATGTACTGAGAGCAGCAGTGAAAACATCACTGCTGAGGCAGAAAGAGGCCAAGAAAAAAGACTACAGCTTCTGAGTAAGGACGTTCTCAGGCAGGGAGGTCCTAGGAAAGAAAGATTTGCCAAAGAATTTCTGAGCAAAGAATACATGACAACTTTCAGCTCAGAGTTAGTATGACTACTAAGGGGGTGAATTTGCCCTGAACCCTAGGAACTATTCATACGCACCCCTTTGTATTAGGGATGTAGGTATACTTTGAGAAGAGTTTCTCACTCTCTTGATTTATAGTTCCCACCTAAGAAACTTAGTGAAAACATATGCATGATGCCCTGGAGCAACATGGGACCTACTACACCACTTGTGAGCATGCAGTTCACAGTGCAGTGGTGGATGGGGAAAGCAAAGGAGGAAGTTTTATTTAAAAGAAGGAAAACACATCGGAAAACCTAGACTGAATAACCTAGCTACCAGTGGCAAAGATATATGTATTAAATTTCCAGAGTCACATGAGTCCCTAATATTAGGGTTTCCCTGGTACAGGCCCTTTTCTATAAATCTTTCTCATGGCCTCTTTGTTTACATGCTGCTCCAAAAGTGGGAAGATGATAGCATTTCTCTCTTTTATTTTCTTTCTATGCTTCATTTGTCCATAACACGGCAAACCTAGACCTCCCAATTTCTCAGGCTAGAATGATGAATTTTTATCAAGGCCACTAGTCTTTCAGTGTCATCTCCCCATGGCAAAATGAGAACAACAACAGCAAAAACAGCAACTTTGGGAGTGCTCTTCTCTTACCATAGGTCCTTCTTCCCTTCCTTACTCAGTCTCTTAGTTATCAGCCCCATCAGTCACTATGAACATCCCTGGCGGCCACCATACTTTATTTTCCCCTTTATTTACTCAAATGGGAAAAGGAGAAGGAAGAAGCGAATGGCCCAGGTGGAACCCAAACAAGGACAGAGTTCCACTGATGACTATTCAACCTTAAGAAGTAGGTGACCAAACTGAAGGAAGAGGTGAGCACCTTTACCTACATATGTATATTTTGTATCTCAAGATTTCCTCATACTATATAAACCATTCAACTATCCTTTTAACATTTATCATTTGGCAAATTTTCTCATATAGTTGAATCCATTCTTTCTACACTATGCCCCAGAGATCTTAGTGCAATTTTGAGCTTTAATAGTTTTAAGAATATTTAAGCTATTAAAGCTTAAAATAGCACTAAAACTTTTGGGACACCCCATATAACTTAGGTATCAGCTTATTACATATTGGAGAAATTTGAAACAAAGATTTTTAACCCCCATTGGTTGTTTTGCTTCTAACTTCAACTGCATTAATTTTGTTTGTGCAAAACAGTCTCAATTTTATTTCATCAAAATTGTTCATTAATCTTCTGTGATCCTTTCTATTCCTTGTTTGGTTATGAATTCTTCTATCTATAGTTGTGATTGGTATTTCCTTCTCTGTTCTTTTAATGTGTTTGTGACACGAACTTTTATATCTAAGTCATGGATCCATTTGGATTTATCTTGGTATGTGGTCTGAGACGTTGTTCTAAACCTAATTTCTTTTAGAGTGAAATTACTTCAGTAGTTGGTGTCTTTAAATTTATCAAATACTGTGATACTATATAAGATTGTTATGTGTATCCTCATACTGCTGTAAAAATGGAACAGCTTAGTATATTAGAAAAAATCCTGCAACTGGAATCAGTAGCAACCCGAATGAGAATTCCAGCTCTGACACTGGTATCACCATGGATGAATCTCTTAATGTTTCAGAGCCTCAGTTTCCTCACTTGTAAAATGGGGATAAGAATGCCTATAGTACACCTTTCGTAGAGGCAGTGTTGGCATAGTAGATGGAGGGCTGGCCTTTGAGTCAGGAAGACCAGAATTAAAGTTCTACCTCTGACATAAACTATATGTGTCAGCACAAACATGTCACATGTTTTGGAGGGTGAGGGCAATAAGAGTAAGTGACTTGCCCAGGGTCACATACCTATTAAGTGTCTGAGGTTGGATTTGAACTCAGGTCCTCCTGATTGTAGGGTACATGCTGTATTCACTGCACCATCTAGCTGCCCCTTTCAAAGACTCTTAAGTTAGAGACAAGTTACTCCATACATTGGTGTAGGGGGGCAGGGAGTTTCCATACCAAGAATTCCCCGTACCAAATAAAAACACAGATAGATCCAAACAAACACAATAAAAGACTTGCCTCATAGGGTTATTGTGAGGCTAAATTAAGGTCTTGTATGTCAAATGCTTTGCAAACCTTAATTCATTAAAACATTTGTTGATTGTTTACTATATTGCTAGCCATATGCTAGGCATTGGCGTCACAAAGACAACAAGGAAATTGTCTGTCCTCAAAGACCTTACATTCTACTGGGGATTAAATGACATGCGCACAGAGCTACAGTAGAAAGAGCCCTGAATTTGGAAGCAGAGGACCTGAGTTCAAATCCTGTCTCTGCCACTTATGTATGTATGTATGTATGTATAGGGTCTAAATCTGTGAAGTCCCTGGAATCAGGGGAACCTCCCAGCAATGCAAATCATAATTGCTCTGCAGCTTACAGTCTTGGGGGGGCCCCTAGGCATTTAGGGGTTATGTGGCTGGCCTGAGGCCACTCAGGCTTAGGCAGTACTTGAACCCATTTTCCAGAATTAGTTATATCTTGCTTCCTTTCTGACAAAATATAAACAGAATAAATAAAAAGACAACTTTGGGGTTGGGGTGGGGAATGCTCAAAATTTGGGGGAATCAAGAAAAGCCTTCTGTAGGAAATAGCCTTAGAGCACCATATTAATAATCAATCAGTCATCATTATTATTACCTAATTAGCTAGATGTCACATGGATAGAGCGCTGGACTTGGAGTCAAGGAAACGTAAGTTCAAATACTGCCTTGGATCCTTACTAACTGTGTGATCTCCAAATCTCTCAACCTGAGGCTGGGGCTAGGGGCAGTTTCCTCACCTGCAAAATGAGGACAGTTACAGCATTTTCTTACCAAGGTTGTTATAAAGAGCAAATGAAATTACATATGTAAAGTGTTTTGCAAACATTAACTCTAACTGCAACTTGTTTTGTGGCTAGGTGATATGTTGATGAGCCATTACAAAAGACAGTAATTGAAGGGAAATGCAGGGAATTGGGGTGGGGAGGTTCCTAGGCTGCACTCCTCAGATTCCAGTCAGTATCCCATCTGACTAGCAGCAATGTAAATTACCAGAGGGGAATGTGGGGAACCTTCTTTTGAGGGTACTAACCATAGTTTGTCACTGGAAATATTTTGGGGTAAGGCTTATGCTATCCCTCACATCAGAATACATAAGCAAGCTTTTACTTTTTCTACTTCCAAGGCAGGCTCCTCAGTCCTTGGCTGGAATTTAATCAGGAAGAAAGATGGGGTGGAGTCAGATGAAAGAAAGGAGGACTAAGGGTAAACCAGTGAAAGTTTCTGAGTAAAGCCAGAAGTGGTAATGTCTGAGGATAAGCCTTCCTGACTAAAGGGAGTTAGTCTTCTATCTCAAATCCTTAACCAGTAGAATATGATGATTAGAAAGCAAACTGTTCTATTCTAGGCTGGGAAGTAGGTGAGGCTGGGTGAAAACTAACTCTGTTCCATTCCTATCAAGAAGGAAAGGCTAGGATGAATCACCAGAGCCTACTCTTTTGTCTTGTTTAACAGATCAGCCTAGATGAAGTAAATAAACACTCCCAAGAATTGAAAAATCAGCAGGATCAGGTGAAAAATCTTCAGCTTGACATGGTGAGATCCTATTTCTAGGACAATTTTCCTTACCTCCTTTCCAGACTCCCCTCCACAACCAAAGGGCCTTTTTGTTTTTCCTACTTGTGGCAAAGAAGAAAAGAAAACCCCCTACAGACCTAAAGAGGTGGGGTGTAGGGTGGAAGGTCTGGATAGATTCAGTTTTAGGAATGACAGTGTCTGTTATGAGCCTCTGAGTATACTACAGAGAAGACCCCACCATGGCTGCTGTACCTTACAGAACCCCTTCTCCCCAATCCTGTACAGGAAGATGTCAAGAATAAGCTTTGCTGCTTCCCTGATGGAAGTGACATCATGCAGTGGACCACCTTACATGATGCCATGTATTCCCAAGTGAGTGACTGGGACTTGGGACAGGGGTATGTGTTAGAAAGGGGAGCACAAGAGGATGTTAAGGGCTGGGAGGAAGATTAACTGGTATCAAATGGTATGAAATAATATATAGATTAGGCAAGGGCAGGGGTAGAAAGAAGACAAAGGTTGTTCCAGAACCAATAGGCCTTATTCTTTTCTACTTGTGGCAAGGAGGAAAAGAAAACTACCCAAAGGTCTGAGGAGGTGGAGTGTAGGGGGTGTGGGGTGTAAGGTATGGATAGATTCAAATCCAGGAATGACAATGTCTGCTGCAAACCCCTGAATAGACTACAAAGAAGGTGACTGCTGCATCTTATAGCATCCCTTCTCCCCAATCCTGTGCGGGAAGATGACCAGAATAAGCTTAGCCTCTCTCCTGATCAAAGTAATATTGCGCAGCACACCACCTTACAAGATGCCATGTATTGTCAAGTGAGTGAGTGGGACTTGGGACAGGGAGCAGAGCACAGTGGAGTGTTAAAGGCCAAGGGGAGGAAAAGTGACTGGCATCACATGGTATGAAATAAAACATAGATTAGGTAAGAACTGGGGTAGAAAGAAGACAAGGGCTGAGAACTAAATGGGAGGGACATGGTGGATTACAGCATTAGGGTTGAGAGGGATCCACTTGGGACCATTAATAAAGAGGAATAGAGAGTGACACTGGGGCCAGGCAAAGGAGAGGGCAAGGGCAATCAAGGTAAAGAAGTTGTCTGTCCCTGTCCCTTTTTTGTCCTGAAGCCCCAGCCTGGGTTCTGCCTAGCTCAGCTTCCTTCATGACAGATTTATTTCCCTCATCTTCTCTCTTCCTGGGTCTACTTTGCTCTACCCTGTGGTGCCACTATTATAGGCTGACATCAAAGAGACTTCTGAGAAGGCTGAGGCTAAGACCTCTGAAGTTACCCCTGAAGTTACCTCTGAAGTTACCCCTCAAGTTACACCAGAAGTTACCTCTGAAGAAGCTTCTAAAACTCTTAAAATTCCGAAAACTCCAAACACCAGAATCCCACCTGTCAAGACTGCCCAACCAAGATCAGATACTATGCCATCCCCTTTTGGTAAAGCCCTTGTTGCCAGGGGCATCACTGTTGGTCCAGAAACTGTTGCTTCCATGGGCATTGCCATTGATCCAGGCATCCTCACTGCCATGGGCATCACCACTGATCCACACATCCTTGCCACTATGGGCATCACTCCTATCCCAGGTGCTGGCTTGGGGACTGCTGGAGAGCCAGGTGCCACTGCTGCCTCTACCACTGGCCAATCATTCATTGGTCCATCATCCACTGGCCAGTCATCCACTGCAGGACCATCACTGGGTATTTCCCCAGACCTCAATTGGAATGCTTCATCTTTCCTTGCTGCTTTGGGCATCACCCCTAATGAAACCACTCTTGATGAACTGGGCCTTGACACTAATGCAGACAGCCTCACTGCTTTGGGTTCCACAGTTGATCCAGCCACCCTTGTTGCACTAGCAATCCTCACTGGCAAAGGCTTGCCCACCAAACTCCATCCCCCAGTTTCAGTTCCAACTTTGCCAGAGGTCCCAGGCACCGCTACTGAATCAAAAACCCTTGTTGTTCCAGAGAGTTCCACCAGCCTAGATGCCACCGCTGGTAAGGGCACCTCAGCGGCAGTAAGCTCCCCTCACTCCCCTGTCAAGTCTTCCTCTCAGGTGTCTGAAGGAATTGTATCCTCAACCAAGTCCCTTAAGCAGCTGCTGACAGGTCAACCTTTCAGTGCAGAAGGAAAAAGACTAATTGTAAAGAGGTTTATGGGAAGCTTGATCAATTTACCAACACAGTACAATAGCCTAAAGGAACAATTTGCCAAGTTGGAAGATGAGGTGCAGCAGCAGGCTAACTGTTTAGGTGAGTGCCAGTTCCAAGCTGGACTTGAAAGAGTCTCCCTTCCAGATTTCCTTCTCTCTCTATCTTCCTATGTCCTGCTCTCAAGAGCTATCCCTAATTTCTGCTTTTAGCAAATCTTCAGTTTCTAAGTTCTCATGGGCTCACACCCCAGCTAGACACTGAGATGAGCACACTGCAGGACAAGATAAATACTCTCCAGGAATCAGGACGAAAGGTTAGTGTCCCAATACAGAGGATACCCTCTGATAATATGATTCGGGGGTAGGGTAGGGTGGGGAATGCTTGACATATGGGAAAAATGCTTTTGCGGGGCTAATACGAATTTCCTGTTGGAGAGAGAAGTTGGGGCAGTCACCCAAAAGCAGCTTCCTTTGTATAGATAGTGCCTCTCCCTGTGTTGTCCCACAATATGATGAATATTGCCTTAGAATTAACTTCCTCAAAGCTGGTCTTATTCTGGTTTGGCAATTGTAGATTTGGGTAATTGTGGGTAAAGGTGAGGAGTTGAGAGCATTCCCTGTAGGCAGAAGCTTAACAAGAGGGAAGGAAGGTTGTTTGTCTCATATGCAGTCACCCTTTTAAGAAGGTAAAGGTGAAGGGGATAATAGAAGGAGGGAGAGATAGAAGAGAGGGCAGACTAGGGGAAAGGGTATTCAGAATGCATGTCATCTTGGGGTGGGGGGAGGGGCGAGATGGGGTGAAAATTTGGAACTCAAAATCTTGTGGAAGTAAATGTTGAAAACTAAAAATAAATAAATCTATATATATAAAAAAAGAAGAAGATAAAGGAGAGACAGTACGGGGGGGGGTATATTGGGGGGGCAGTATTTTCCCAGGATGTACTTGACACTGAATACACAAGTGCAAGGGGAAGGGACTTTAGAGAGTGGACATTTCAATTCCTTCATTTTTTATAGGGAAGGAAAAAAAGTATAGAGATAGTAAATTACTTACTCAAGATCACAGTACCAAAAAGTCACAGAGTAGAAACTCTATGAAGAAGAAAGAGAAGAGCAAAGAGAAGGGGGAGGAGGAGGAAAAACCAGACTTCTTAACCCTCTATCAGTGTTTTTTCCACTCCATAACACCCTGGACATATGACACAGAATTTCTCTCTCTCTCTCTCTCTCTCTCTCTCTCTCTCTCTCTCTCTCTCAGAATAAGACTTATGAGCAGCATTTGGAAAAGGTGCAGGAACACTGTAACCTGTTGGAAAAGGTCACTGAAACTCTGCAGGATAAAATGGAGGATATCAAGGTGAAATGGGGTTCTGGGAGGAGGTAGGTGGGAGGAGAGAGCAAGTCCCCATTTGATTCTATCAGATTGTCCTCAAGAACTTTTGGTTCTGAGGAGCTCAGAAACCTCACATCCCACCCCCACCCCACCCCCTGCAACTCTTCTTCCTCACTTAGAGGTAGCTTAGGAAGAGAACATTGAAATAAGAACATAGAACATTTAATTCTACTCTAAGTTCTGCTTTTTGGAGGACCGTATCCCTTTCCTACTTAGCTCCTCAGTTTCTCAGTTTATGTAAAGAGAAAACTAACACAAGAAGGATATCTGACGCTGTTTTATGACATCTGCTATATGTAAAGGTGAAGTACAATTTAACCGTTTAAAACAGACAGCCTTCAAATTAGGCAGTTCCCTAGGTGGCACAGTGGGGAGAGTACCAGACCAAGAGTCAGGAAGACTCATCTTCCTGAGTTCAAATCTGGCTGCAGGCCTTACTAGCTGTGTGACCCTGGGCAAGTCACTTCACCCTGTTTGTCTCAGTTTCCTCATCTGTAAAATGAACTAGAGAAGGAAATGACAAACCACTCCAGTATCTCTGACAAGAAAACCCCAGTGGGGTCATGAAGAGTGGGACACAACTGAAACAAATGAACCACAACTAAATGAGACTGGCTTTAAGCAGAACACAAAGGACTTCCTATTTAATTGGGCTTATCCAAGATGCTACTGTACTAATTTGTTCTCATGACTTGTCTAGGCAGAGCTGTGACTCATCCTCAAAGGTCCAAAGCCCAGATGTGAGCAAGTGCTATTTGGGGTGGGAGTTGGGGGGTTGAAGAGGGGGAGCCAGACCATCTGAGAGGAAACTACCTTGTTTTAAAGCATAAACAGCCTTCACAGAAGTAACCTACCTAGAAAAGCTTGGTATAGCGGAACGATCATTGGCTTTGGAGTCAGAAGACCTACCAGTGACATTTATTACATGGGTAACCTTGAGTAAGTCCTTTCACCTCCCTGGGCTTCAGTTTCCTCATCTATAAAATGAAGGAATTAGACTAGATGATCTCTGAGATTCCTTCTTGTTGTAAAGTTATGATCCTGTGATTTTTCCCTAGGAAGCTTTGATCTAATGGACTTATTCTAGAAAGAATTCAGAAAATATACACACCCTTCCAGGGCTTTGGTTCATCCATAGTGATGTGCAACTTGGCAAATTATATGATGAGTTCCTCTCTAACCCCACCACCACCATTTTCATATGAAATCAGGTTGAAATAAATAATGGCAGTCATGGGGGCAGAAAAGAAGCCAATAATCACAGCCCAAAGAAGCTCTATAGATGTCAGGACATGGGCAGTATGGATTGTCATTGTTTACCCAGAGTCATAGTTACTCATTGCATTGACCAAAGTTCTTAAGTCTTTCAAAGTTTTGTCTTTAGAGTGTTGTTGTTGTTGTATAAATTATTCTCCTGGTTCTGTTCACTCCACATGTGATCATAAAAGTCTTCCCAGGTTTCTCTGAAATTGCTGCACCTTTCATAATTTCTTATACACAGTAATATTTAGTTATATTCATGTACCATAATTTGTTCATTTGTTCATCAATTTCCCAATTGATGGGCACTTCCTTATTCTCTAGTTCTTTGATACTATAGAAAGTTTATTGTGGAAATTATCAGTGAACTTCTACTCTCTGGCCCAAATCTTATTGCAATAGTTATTGATACTGAACACCTAAAACCAGGATTTTCCTCTCAGGTTACAGTATCCCTGACAACCATTTCCATTGGTGACAACTTCTCCACTCCCAGTGACTCTTTTCAGAACTGGAATGAAGAGCTTAACATACTCCTTGCTGTTCACTACTATTTCCAGCTTTTACTCTATCACCATCATTTGACTCCTTTGAATTTCATTCCTTTTAAAGATACCACCCTGCCCCCACCCTTGCCTCAATCATTTACTAGCCTCCAGAACACCAGTATGCCTTTCTTAATACACTTATTCATTCAACATTCATTAAGCAAGTATGATGTGTAAAACACTTCTGGCCACTGAGGAAGATACAAAGATTAAAGCATAATTCTAGCCCTTGTGGAGCTTACATTCTAATAAGAAGCATTTGACATATTCTGATGTAATTATGATACCAAATAATATATGAGAAAAGCATAAGAGTTCCAAGCAAAGTATTATATGAAGTGTTGGAGTAGGATTGTTATCAACTTAGAGGATCAGGGAAGACTTCATGAAGGTCATGACTTTAAGCCAACCCTTAAAGGACTAGCAGGATTTTAGTAAAGAGAGGGTTTGGAAAGGTATTCCATAACCTTTGCTACTCCTCAGAGGCAGGAAAAAAGGAAGGAATAGAATCTAGCTTCCCAAATTGTATTCTCTGACATTACCAAAATACTCAGAATCATCAATAGGTTTCGATTTTGGTAGCTACAAAACTAACTGGGGCAAGTTGCTAGCAAGTTAAGAATGCTTCACTATGACTATCTAAGACCAAATGGTGCCTTGACTGACCCAGGTCACTTCTTTTTTTTTAATTAATTTTTTTCAATGAAAATTCACTTTTTCTTCCTCCTTCCTCAACCCTCACCCCAACTGAGAAAGAAAAACAAACCCTCTGTTACAAATATGTATAGTCAAGTAAAACAAATTCCCAAATTGGCCATCTCCCCAAAAAAAGTCTCAATCTGCACTCCAAGTTGAGAAGATTAAATTGATTCTGTGCCATTTTTATTGATCCTATTTACAGTTAATTGATTTTTTCCTATAACTGCCTAAGTCGCAGTTGTTTCTGAACTTAGTTCAGAAATTCAGCTGGCCTGTAATGAGTTAAATTTAGAAATCCAGTTATCTTTTTAATCATGCCTCAGCTAGTAACCAATCATGTTGTCCACAGCCCCATAATGTTGCCAACCCTATAACCAATTGTATTCTTTCCTTGCCTATGAAGTCCACTTCCTCTTTGTTTTGTATTCCCTCAAAACTATAAAAGGGGAGCTGCCTTCTGCTGGAGGGCTTTGCTTTAAACTGAGGCAGCTATTGACCTGCTTTATTAACAGGTAGCACCCTTAACTGGAGGAAAAGAATACTTGTACTTATCCAGGGTAGCATATGATGTAGGCATAAGATCTGGCCAAGTGCTCTAGGAAAATCTGAGGAGGGAAAGAAGTAGGGAAGGAACTCAAGGGAAAGCTTCACAAAAGAGGTATGTTTGAGTTGTCTTGAAGAAAAGGATTTTGAAAATTGGGAGGGTAGGATGTGAAAATGAGGTAGGAATGCATTGCAGATGTAGAGTATTGCATGAGAAAATCTTGAGAGGCCATCCAAGAGGAGAGGGTAGGTCTCAGTGTTAAATGTTGACTTAGAAAAGAGGAAAGAAAGAGCCCCAAGGTTTTGTCCTAAGCCTTTCTACCTTTTCTCTCTCTACTCTCTTTCTTCACAACCTCATTGGCTACCGTGACTCAATTATCATCTTTATTCCAATGACTCCCAGATCTATATGACCAGCTCTATTCTCTCTCCTGACACCCAGGCCATTATTACCAGCTACTTAGTGGACATTTTTAACAAAGTCCTGAAAGCATCTCCAACTCAACACATCCAAAATAGAACATTTTATATCACCTCCAAACCCCACTATCTTCTGAATTTCCCTATTTCTGCCTTGGGTGCCACCATCTTTTCAGTCATAAGGCAGGTTCACTACCTTATGTCCTCCTTGACTCTTCACTGTTCCTCAACACATACACCCAACCAGTTCACAAATCTTGTCATTTCTGCCTTCCTATGTCATGCATCAGTCCTCTTCTCTTTGCTCATAGCCGCCGTTCTAGTTCAGATATTCCTCTCCTCACTACTGGACTTATAATCGCCTTCTGATTGACTTCCCCACCTCAGATCTTTCTCCTCTCCAACCCACTCACCACACAGCTGCCAAAGTGAAAAGTGATTTTCCTAAAGAGTAAATCTGACTGTATGACTTCCCCAACTCAGATAACTCCAGTAGCACCCTAATATCCCTGGGATCAAATAGCAACTTCTTTGTTTGGCGTTTAAAACCCATCTGAAATTGGCCTTTATCTGCCTCCCAGTTTTATTACACATTACTCCCCTCCATATATTTACAGTGAAGCCAGATTGCTTCTCTTGCTGTTCCCTATACATGGCTCTCCATCCTCAGCCTTTAGAATGTGTTTCTTCCTCACTTCCTCCTCTTGGAATGCTTGGTTTCCTTCAAGGCTCAGCTCAAGGATCACCTTCTGCATGAGGCCTTTCCTGGTCCCTCTGGTTGCTAGTGCTTTCTTCCCTAAGGTTATCAATTCATATCAATTTCATATGTGTTTTGTATGTGCCTATATGTATTCATGTTGTCTGCCTCCATAGAATGTAAGCTCCTTGAGAGCAGAAACTGTTTTGGTTTTGCCTTTGTATTTCCAGAGTTTAGCCCAGTGCCTGGCACTTAACACTGGCATTTCCTCAAGCTATTTTGCTCCTTTTTGCCAAAAAAACAAAAAAACAAACAAGCAAACAAAAAACTCCTTGAAATTACATAATCAAACAAGTTTTTATTAAGCACATTGAAAGTTTGGTTTTTCCCCCCCCAAGGATAGAGGAGGCTTGGGCACATTTGTAAGTAGCATGGAAGGAACCAGTAATTAGAAAGAGATTGAGGATTAGAGAAAAAGGAAAAATGATTAATGAGGCAATCTCCTGAAGGAGGCAAGAGGTGATATAATCAGACATAAGAGGAGGGGCTATAGTTGCAGGAGGAGAGCCTCCTCCTCCTCTGAAGTTATGGTGAAGTGTAGAGGAAGGGAGATTAATAAATTTATGATGAATGGCCTCACTTTCAAAAGTAAAATATTAGATGAAGTCATCTGCTAAGAAAAGATTAGCCAAAGAATGAAATTGAGGTCTTGAGGATAGAGAAGGAAGGACAGCTAGATCATAAAAAGATTGCTCTAAAAGCATCAAAGGCTCGGCTTAGTTTAGATAATATGAATT